GGGGCTGGGGGGAGCGGGGCCGCTGGGGCTGGGGGGAGCGGGGCCGCTGGGGCTGGGGTTACAACTGCAGCTGGTGGGCCGTGGGCGCCCGTGAGGGGGAGCATGATTGTGTGTCATACTGCTGGTTAGGGAAAGGTCTGCTGTTCATACTTCATTGCTTCTCTTAATACATTATTTTTGAGTTGCGAGGCGTCTGACATCCCTCTCCAGGTACCTAGAGCAGCATTTCTTAACCTTTGGGCCGGGGGGAGGGGGGCCGTGTGTATACGCCTCTACCGCCTCTTTCTTACTAAGAAAACAAAAGATGCTGCTCTTGGGACCCTATAGGCTCTGCTCAGTCAGCTACCTGAGAAACATGTTTCTCTTTGTGAAGGCATTGGGCTGGCATAGGAACCGCTGGGTCTGGACTCAGCGCTGGGTTGTTGGTGCGGTCGCCATGGGCAGGTCACTCAGTGGCTGCGAGCCTGTCTGCTCCTCCAGGAGAGCAGGGCTCCATGCTTTCTCACATGGTTCCCTGAATCTGGCCTCAGATATCGACATGCTGGAGGAGTTCGCCTACCTGAGAACTCAGGAAGGTGGGAAGATCCATCTGGAACTACTACCCAATCAAGGAATGCTGATCAAGTAAGGGCACCGTCTCCTGCTCTCCGTGCTGAGTGCCCGCCTTCGTGTGCTTGTAGGAAATAGTTGTAAATGTCTGTGGCTTTCAGACAGTCATTAGAAAGGAATCCAAACCTGGTCTCTGTTTTGGAGAGTAGATTTGATTCCGGGAATCCTTTTGAAAGACTTGGCATTTCCTTAACTACATTTCTGATAAAACATTGTTTAAATTGGGCTGGTTCTGTCACTTTTGATACTTACTTCACTAGACAAAAGTCTTACTCATGGTATCTTTTCCGTTCCAAAACTTTCAGACTGATCCTATAATTTCTGACTAGAAGTAGGGTGCTTTTAATTAAGAAAAGCCATGCTTAACTAAAGTTGAGCTGGACTGGGAAAAACTGCAGAGCTAACTTCCACACTGTACTTGGGCCTCAGTGTTGACTGAAGCCCTGCTCAGCACCTGCCTGCTCAGCAGGGTGGGGCTTGGTCTTGGCACTCCCCACTCCTGGATGAAATCAGTGACCATTTATGATTTTTAAATGCCCTTGCTTCTGCCCTTCAGTCCTCATTGCAGTTTGGACAGTACATCCTCTGTGCTGCAGACGCCTTGCGTAGTGTGATGTCCATACCTCCTCCTCTGCGTCCTGCACGTTCAGCGTGTGTGGGTCAGGATCAGAGTCACTGCAGGAGACCGAACCCCGAGTGAGAAGAAAGTGTTGCTGAGGCTGACAGATTCTCCTTTTTCCCTCACTTGTGAAAGGGACGAGTTTTCAGCGCAAAGCCAAAATCCTCATCTCGTGCTGTCTTTGGGGAGTGTTGTCGAGAGGGAAGTAATAAGTGTCCCTCTGGACTCCCGTATACTCGGGGCTGGGGCATCCAGGCAGCATGGTGTCCTGTCAGGAACGGGAAGGTGGGGTGCTTGTCCTTCACCTTGCAAACGTTACTAAAGATTCTGAGCATTTGACATGAAAGCGCAAGACCTTTATACGTTAGCTGGCTCAGGCAAGGGGACCAGACACGCTCATCTTCTCACTCTGGTAGCTCCCCTAGAATGTGGGGAAAATAATTGCGTGATTCAAAATATTCTTCACCAAGCTTGAGAGTAAAGATGGCTTTTTGACACGGAAGCCTAGGTAACTAACCCCTTTTACGTTGTAATTTGCAGGTTTTGAGGCTGGACACACAAACATACCTTTAATAGCTTTTTCTTTAATTCCCATTAATGCTTACCATACAAATTGTCATGATACGGAGACAACCTCAGTAGAATCAACTCCGTTTACTTAGATTAAACCTGAGTTTAATAATCCTCACACTAGGTAATGCTTAGCTGCGAATGTGAGAGAAGAGGCTGTCAGAAAATCAGTGGTTGAGTCTCAGACTTCATTCTGCTGAACCTGTCTTCTCCAGCCAGTTTTATTGAGCTGCCCAGTGACACGGGAACATGCAGACAAGCCCTCGGACGAGTAGTGAAGGCGAGGGCTGTTGGACACGCAGACGGTGTCCTTAGTTAAAGAAACCCTTAATTTCTTCTAACTCCCCGTAGAAGACCATTAAGTCTCTTAGGAAACCTGCTGCTCCATCAGTTTGGAAGCAGGACTAGGGGCTGTTGCTTAGTGAGCTGACAGTGTGAGTCTCAGGGTTCATTTGAAACCTGCCTTCCAAATATCTGATGAGAAGCTGCCATGGAGAAGCGGGCCGCCTGAGACAGTTGAGGTATGGTCGGGATCTCGAGTAAAACTGTCACACTCATTTTCCCTTTGGGTCGCAAACAAATTGTCTGAAGCCATTGTGGACCTTTTTTGGGGCCCTCCAGCCGAGCGCAGAGATGCAGGGAGCAGAGTCCAGCCTTCCCTCAGGTGAGGCTGTGAGTCCGTCCTGGTTGTGGCGTCTGGGCTGCAGCAGGTACGGTACCAGCGCCAAGGGCACGGGGGCCTGACCGGCAGGAGGGACGAGCTCTGATTCTTACCTACACGTGCTGCTCTCATGTATTTTGAAGTAGAGAAATGCTTCTGTGCTGATGCTTGCAGTACCCTGGGTGACACAGAAACCCATGTCCTGTGTGTGCCCCGAACTGGGTGCATGATGACGTTCTCAGAGGTGATCACCCGGCTAATGTACTCATTTCTGTTGTTAACAGAATCCCACAAAGCCATGGCCCAGACTCTTGTTTTCCCCCATCTGTTCCTTTTCTCAATACTTTTTGAAATTTAAACTCAACCTTTCTTTATCAAAAACATTGCCAGCCTCTCCAGTCCTCTTGAAAGGGCCTCTTCAGTCTGGGGCTTCAGTCCCATCAAAGATGGTTCTAAAAAGTCACGGGTGTCTTTCTGGGATCAGCATGGACGTGGCAAGCGTGGAGAGCAAAGGCGCTGGATTTGAGATTCTCTCCACGGCCGTTCCATGGCATCTCCCCGTCCTCTCCCCTGGCTCTTGCTTTTCATGCCAGATCTCAGCGGGCTGAGCCGGGGACCGGCAGCCGAGAGGCCTGTGGACCCACGTGGGCCACAGCTGTGCAGCGGGGGGGCTGGTAGCCTCTGTCCTCCCGAAACAGCTGCTCGAGGCCTGAGGCTGGCGGTTCTGTGCAGCCTGCCCCCCGTCTCATGCGTTTTCTCTGGAGTGTTGTTTTTAAGTGCAGGCTGAGTCAGTGTGGGTGTTTGAATGCCGCTGTTTGCTGTTTTTTAAAGGCCTTCTAGCCCTCCCATGGGGTTACTGCAGCAGGGA